TAATATTTGTCCTTCCTAAATGCCCCTGTTTACAATTACTCATTGTAGTGGCTATACTAATTAACTACTGGATTCATGCGACCGCCGATGTTGTCCGTAAACATGAATCGATGAATAAACAATTGATTGCTAATTGCAATTACCACCGTTGGTGTGTATTTTCGGGAAATTCCTCCAGGACTCTTGAATAAAAGAAATTCAAATTTTGAGAAACGAAAAAATAACTAACGAATTTTCAATCAATCAATTATCTACAAAGATAATTAAAGTGACGACATTTTTATCTCTCACTTCTTGAGACTTCAAGATTGTTATGGAGTATGAATATTCTGGGCACAAATAAATAATTACAATCGGATAAAATGATAAGAGAATTGGTCAATTTATTTGTGGAAGGATTTTGTGAGAATATTTGTCTAGAAAACTTGTGTAGAATGATAAAAAAAATATTGCATTTCTCAATTGAATTTAATTAAAGAAAAAAAACAAATATGGGCAATTTTTTTCAGATATATAAGATTCTTTCAATATTTCAATTTTATATGTCAAATGATAACACCCCATACGTGTGAGCTTATACGCTAGTTGCAATAAAAAATGAGAGGCTTCGAAGACGATCCCGAACACGAATGCGAGGGAAAGTTACATGGCCCCAGGGTTTTCTCTCCTCCCACCCACCCCCTTTCATTTGCTCCTCTCTCGTCCTGCAGTTATATCCGAGAAACTCGGATCCAGGAAGATGTTGCACACCAAGTAAGGCCCAAGACACTCGTTATTCATCAAGAGACAATTCCATTCCTTCCTCACCTCCTGCATGATTCATTGGTGAATAATTTTGGGCCCTGAAAAGGCCTGAAATATTTATTCAAACGCTCGTAAATTATAGCCTCAGTGAATTGCCAGTGAGATGTGCAATTTACCGAGTGATTATGCTACTTCTTTCTCTCCGCACTGTAAATTAAAGATGGCTTTATGAATGATTATAATTTGGTGGAAAAATTATACGGGATGGAGCGAATATTTTATGGGCTATTGGTGAGAATTTTTATTGTTTAAGGAATTAAGGGTGATAATTGAAACATGAATAATTTATTTCGACGGAGTGAATGCGATGAGGGTGAACAATTGCGAGAGATTTTTTTTTTATGGCCGCTGAAAATAATTAGGGAATGCCATTTGGCGTTTTCCAATTAAATAATGGATTTTCAATTGTAAACTGTCGGGAGATGAAATATTGGAGTCGCCGTGATATTGTGAGGCAGTTGAGATTTAATTGGCGCTTTTTAGAAATATCGCTGAAGTTATGGAAGATCGCGAAATTCTTGTAAATACGATATTTTTAGCTCTTATTTCGCCAGTCCTTCTTCCGTTCAGAGATATTAATCGAAAATTAAATTAGGAATTAAGTGGACTTGCTACCCTTGACCTCTCACTGCTGAAATGTGAATACTGAAAATCCCAATGAGTTGATATTTAATTTTATGGTTGAAAAGGAAGAGGCTGGGATGTTAAACGGTAAAAGGAGTGTCTATGAATAAATATTGAATCGTCAATCTTGATAGGAACACAAATTTCAATTAATTAGCAATTCTGTGTAATTTAGTACTAAATAATCGTGCGTTTATTGATAATTTGCGAAGAAATTTTGATTTTTTGTAAATATTCAGTGAAATTGAAATTTCATGATTTTTTATTACAAAATCCAATGCAATTTCACTTTCTTGAAGATTGCTGGAAGACATAACTCAACAATTCATCGAGTTTTTATTCTTTCATCACTACAACATGACACCTCTCGATGATTTTTATGTTGAAAATCGTTTTCGTGGAACGGTTCGAGATTTTGAAATAAACTCAACTACCGTAGAGGCTGCAATTTATTTTGGGGCATTATCGGGCATTATTTCAACTTCTACTTTCAGAAATCATTTGAAAATCAATCTCAGCAGTAGAAAAAATACGCAGGATGGCTAGGAAAAAATTCACAACATTAATTTTTCTCTCATCTCCATGAAATTATCTGAAAAAAAAAATCAATAATCTCCAGAATAATTTCCTAATTGCTTATGAACTCAGCAAATTACTGTTACCCTTCACCGTGTCGTTACATTCTCTGAAACACCGAAACATTCCCATAATTTCTTCGCCTCTCTAATAGCCTCTGACTTTGACACGATGGGTCCCATCACTGGAAAACCAAAAAAAAAATTCAAGAACAATTATTTACACCAGCGAAAGGTCTCCCCGATGACGCAGATCAATTCGCGGTTACGAATAACTTTTTTAATTAAAATCCTTTGATAACACTATTCTCGTCATCTTTCAACTCGATTAAGAAAGCATTAAAAATAAATTCCCCAAACTCAAATTTAATTTCATCATATCTGTTTTGAGAAAATTCCGAATGATCAAAACCGTTTTTCCAGTTTTTCCGCAAAACTTAATTAATGTCGCTAAACATAATTAGCTCTCTACTCCTGCGAGAAAAATCATGAAATTCTTAATGAAATGAAATGACGGAAAAAAAATATTTTCAACACCACCTCCACACGATCTGAACGGCAAAAATGGTGTAGGCGATTGGTGGGTCAAGCAACTTTGAATTCGTTCGATTGAAAGGCTTCCATGGGGAATAAAAAAATGGCAAAAAAAAGAGGATACACGGGAGAATGAGACTGAGAGGTAGATGAGTATTTTGCAAAGTAGGCCGGGAGTTCACGCGCGGATAATCGAATTCCACGACGAAGAAAGCGTTTTCCCTCTCGATCAGTGGTCACCATCACCGGACACCGCGGCATCTCAACGATCTTCACCCAACATAGACTTTGCACACCTGAGATTTAAACTGATGTCTAGTAAAGTACATCTTTCACAGAGCACAAGTGCTAGCGATTACGTCTCATCGGGTCTATCTTGTCGATTCCACTTGCCAGACGTACGGAAGCTCCAGGACGATACAACTGAGCACGTAAACCATTTTCTTCCGCGATGCCGATTCCACCAGGAGTTCTGATGTTGACCGCAATTATTTTTATTACCCCATAAAATTGGCGGGATTAATAAATTCCAGGGAAACCACTCACTTCGTTCTAATGGATTCCACCGCGGGGATGACCGGACCCCAGGGTTCCAGATTAAATCGTAAATTAAATAAATCTTTTTATATTTGTTCATGTATTCCTAAGTAATTCCACGAACATGAAACTGAATGAAAAATTTATAGAGTTGGAAAAGAAAAAATTGATTGACATTCGATGAACTGATGGACATAAGAATATCAAATGTTTAATTTTGTGAATTTTTCAAACCAAAACCCCGGACCCAAAATGACAACAGGAATTTCGCAAGATCCAGGACGAGAGTTGTTACAAATCTCGTGCGAAGGATATTCCACAGTCGCTTTCGCTGGGTCCAGTGAACCCCCAGGTTACGAGGTACAATAAAATAGTTGGAAGATAAAAACAAATCCCCGATGGGTACCAGTCTATGACTGGTTTACACAAGACTGTCATCCAGTTGGTCATGACTACAATAGCGCCAAACCGAAGAATATTTACGTTCATCACTCATAACAAACCCCCAACTTTCTTTCACTTATCTGTGTCTTGTCATCCAGTAAAGAGTGGTTAATTAAAATGTCTCTCATCAGCCTTAAACTCCCCCCTGAAATGGCAATAAAAAGGAGAAATGAGAATCAAGAGGTGATTTCAGGGCCAGAGTGAATGAAAGGGAACTGCTCCGTTTTGGACGTTCGTGACCTAAATTTCCCTCAGCGCAAACAATCTCCAGATATTCGACAAAAGCGGAGACGAACCCTTTCGATTTTGCACGATTACAGTGGCGCGGTTACGTGCACCACAGTCACTTGGAATAATGTAAAAAGATGATGAATTTAATGAAACCAAAAAATACTAAATGTTTTCCCACGATGATCGGACCGCCTCCTTCGAGACCGTGCAACCAGGAAGCGGTACATTCCCATAATTCCTTTTATTGGACACGAATAATCGAAATAAATCGACTAGAACGGCTCCACTGTAATTCATCCTTCGAGTTATAGGATAGCCATAATTGCTCTTGAAATTTCACCTGAAAAAAACTCCATCTTCAAGAACTGATCTACATAAAAATTCCGTTAATCAAGAAAATTAGTTGATGTTTGAGTATTCAATGGAACTCTAATTTTTGTCACCTCAACTTTCCCTTTTCCCTTCTAATTCATATATTGAAATTATAGAAATAATAGTAGTCATTCATTACTCATAATTAGAGGGAGCGTTGACAGGAGTGAAAATCCAATTAAATTTGATTTTCAATTTTTATAATGAACGATGCAGCGAACATTTAAAAATCAGAATATAGATAAATAAAATCAGTTGAAAAATGCATTAAAATATTTCGATCATCAAGTGTAATCTCATAATTATTTACTATCTCTTAAAACCTATAATTTACCACCGCATGTTAACGATGGCATTTTTCTCTAGCCTAAGTGTACGTAAACCTAAAAATACACCGCGGAAATGAACAACTCCATTCTATTCCCAATATCAAGAATTCAGGTGGAGTTCCTGAAAAAAAAAAATTGCAGTCAAGTCGTTGTAACGAGGCCAGTGGCTCATAACTTTACATAATCGAGTTAGAACCTGCAACAAAAGAGACATGCGTCCAGGTAAATCCGACTGGGTCTAGGACATCGACAAATCGACGTGCAAAGTGTCATTCATCGAGTCATTAAAGAACGCCATGCGTATAAGTTGTCGCAATTTTTGAAAAAAAAAAAAATACAAGCTCCAAGGAATCCCAACGATTACAAGACATAAAAGACCGAGAGGTGCACGAAGACGGGACACCGGTGTAACCCGCGTTACGAGGCGAATGTACATGCAGGTGAGGGTACAGAGGGGGAGAGGGCATGAGTATTACTCTCACTCTGGATTCTGTCCCGTCTCTTCTTCGTTGTGTTTCCCCCACGTGCTGCCTCCATGGTATCCACCATCTGGGATATAAAGGTAACCCCGTGGCCATAGTCAGAGTCAAACCGAGCCGAAACGGCATTGCAGTAACCGACATGAATCCTCTTTTCGCGGTAAGCTATTCTTTTTTTTGGGGGGAGGGGATTCTGCTGCTGAAGTTGTGATAGAGACAGATGACAAATCTGGCGGTAGAATCGAAGATAATTGCCCGTCAGTTTAGTAATTAGAAGGAAATTAAAGTGTTGGACCTCAGCAGTCAAGTGGTAACACGAATTAAGACGAATTTCAGTTCTGTTAAATATCTGGAAATGGGATAGAGATGGCGAAATTTTTGTAGGACATTTCTTGTAGCCCTCAGTCCACTCTAGAAAAGATGTCTTATCGAAAATTTCGTCATCTCCCCTAGATTCAGAGATATCCACTGGGAGGTAACCGACTACCTTCAGATTTTAACGATTCGGATTTTTTAACGTGTTTTAATGAATTTTGGGAGGAGACGGGTAATTAATTAATAAGTTTTATAATTTAATTAATTTCAGTGTGCCTTCCTCGCCCTGGCCGGGCTCGCCGTTGCGGAGCCGCCAGTGGGCTACAACTACAACAGACCAAGTGGTGGACATTCATCAGGAGGTGGTGGTTACTCCGGAGGTGGTGGTTACTCCGGAGGTGGCGGTTACTCCGGGGGCGGTGGTTTCTCCGGGGGAGGTGGTTACACCCAGGTATCCCCTGGGTTTCAATCGAACGAGGGTGCCCAGGTGGATGGTGCCCTCCTGGAGCAGATCCGTCAGATCCTCCTAAAGGAGGAGAGCCAGTCAGGTGGATCCGGTGGATCAGGTGGATCTGGTGGATACCCGAGCTCATCTTACGGTGCCCCATCTAGCAGCTACGGACCACCTTCAACCCAGTACGGTGTACCATCGTTCGGTGGTGGCCGAGTTGTTGGAGTTGACCTCGAGGGCATCAGACAGGCCATTCAGGTCGCTCAGCTCCACCAGGTCAGCCAGGGAAGCGGTAGTTCATTCGGTGGATATCCAAGTGGACCATCTGGATACCCCAGTGGACCCTCTGGCAGCTATGGGGCACCCAGCAGGCCCAGCGGCAGCTATGGTGCTCCATTCTAATCACCCAATACCTTCGATTCAACTCCCAACGGCACCTGAACCTCCTCACAGAGAAAAAAATTCAGAGTCAAATTTACCCTGGAAATAATCAATTTTTACCAGATCTATCGCATCTTTTGTCGCAATGTTAGGGTGGAAATGACAAATTTTTTAAGAGGAATATATTTAACTGTGAATTTATCTCTGTGGAAGAAACACCCATGGAGTTCCGTGTGTGGACGCGGGCGTTCTCCAGCACGAGGACTCGAGAGGCCTCTTGTCAATATCACTGGGGCCTTGTCGTACCCCAATTGATGTAACCGAGAGCTTCCGAGGTTCAAGCCCATCAGCAATGCCCGAGGGATGACCAGGAAAATCAGGGAAGTGAATCAAACATTTCCAGGATAAATCGAGATAACAATCTGCCTTCAATCCGGTGAAAGGACGATTGAAATGATTATCGAGGAGGGATGTCGGACGGGAGCAACTTCATAAATGTATCTCATATCTTCATCTCCCCGGAGATCAAGAGTGATGGTAATCAGATATAAGACCATTAACCAAAAGAGACAAAACCATAGACAAAATATCTGTGCGTCAGATGTAGAGGACCATTGAGGAGCAAGTTGGAGGGGAATGATCGTGATCTTTGCGCTAAATGCGCATTCTGTAAATAAAATTACACACGCTTTTTTTTTTATATAAAAATATGTAAACACTGGGGACTGGGTTGGACGGTGTTGCCGGTATAATGTTGCCTCCAGTAATGGCTAGAGTTCAGGTGAAATTCACCCATGAGAAAGGACAAGATGAAAATCCAGTGGAGTTGTGATGCAACACCGGAAGCGCAGGAGGGCAGGAAGAGCGGTTTAACCGGAGGAGTCTTGTTCGGGCGAGAGTGAAATTTTCCAGAGTCTTGAGGCGATTAAGTCGGCGTTTTTTTTTATCCTGGCGACGAGAACGTGGGCAAACTTAGGGCATTCAATTAATGGCCACGTGATCGTCTGCAGGAAATTCTAAGACATCGGAGGAAGAGGGACAGGGGAAACCGGATGTGCCGTCTGAGCCAGTCGTCTTGAGGACATACAGACGAGAAATACTATTTTTCTACTTAATTCTTGTTTTACTTAATCGTGCATTTTTTATACTTGTATAAAGGCTTTTTTTTGTAGAAAAGAAAAAAATAAAAAAACCGTCGCCACCGTTGAATTTGTCTATTTTTTCTTATCTTTTTTTTATTTTCCTGTCTCTTTTTTATGTCTTCGGGTGCTCATGGATCTGGAGAATGAGAGTTCAAGTCGGATGCGACTGGTAATGAGTCAGAACATCTGTTAATATTTTTTTATGACTCTTCATTACTTTTATATCAATGATATGCCATTTTTACTGGTCTTTTTAACTTTTAAGAGTGCCTTTCTCCTTTCACTCTGTCTGACCAATGACAGGCCACCGATGCACCAGTGCTCTTCTTCTCAATTTCCCCCTCGACGTGGTGAACCCCTTCTGAACCACTGGACATGACGTAAATTGAAGCAAACGCACGGGCAATAAGATATGTTTGCGCCAACGAGGAAGGACCTGGTGTTTCGAAATTCGAGTGAGATTCGAAAGTAAACTGCCTATGACGAGGTGACTTTGATTTTTTTTTTTCATTATGATAATTGGAGGTAGTCCTCAGAAGGGAGAGTTTCATGGTCTTGCATTGAAGATATCTCCAGGGAAATATTTATAAATCTTAGAGGAGTGATCAATGGCTGGAACGGCCCATTGTTCTTGGACTTGAATTGTTTAGAGGTTTTTCTTGTGGAGAACTCAATAGCCAGACGTCTCTCAATTGCGCACGACATTTCATTGAAATCTTTTACGGGAGACGCTGGAGGAAGCGAGTGGTAATATGAGTTGAGTAGGATTTAAGATGTTTCTTTATTTTTAATTCATATTGAAAAAGAGAGATTTTTTTTTGCAAATGATTGCATTTGAAAGGAACAGGTATTCAATTTTTTTTTATAATAAATAAAATGGTTTTTTTAATAAGCAATGTCCGTTTAGGCTGGTTAAAAATTTAGACTGCAATTACAAAATTCTAGGAGCACTCGGTACTGATCTTTTCATGTGCGATACTACTTGCATTTACATGCAAGATGAAAGATGAAACGAATGGTGTCAGTAAATTCAGTCGGGCATTTCATAGCTCTGAAACCGAAAGAGAAAAATTGGAACGAGCTCTGTGCAATGGTTACGAATCCACTCTTATAGGAATTCTTCTTTTCGCGTTCTCTTAGCATGCACGTCACGAAAACGTACCTCTTCGGGTGATTCCGAAAGACGAGTCATCCCATGCACATTCGTACCAGTCGTGCGCTAAATATTTATTGCAGACCGAGGTTTCTGCTCCACTTGTGAAACTCATTTTTTCCTAGTCTCAGGATGAATGATTCCAGATATCTCGGCAATTAACGACTGATTGCTGCGGCACTCATCCATTAATCGATTCAATTTTTTTTTCTGCTTGATGAATCCGATGAGTATCGGAACGATATGAATTAGCGAGCCATTTATAGAACTTGTTAGTTTTATTCAATGTAGTTGAATTATTTTTACTGGAGCCCCAGTAAAATCGCCAGGAAAGTATATATTAAAGATGAATTAAATGGAAATGGTAAAATTAAATATAATGTTGGAGAAAATTCGGTGTTCTTGGAATCGTGTAAATGATTGGTGAAGTTTTTCGCGAGTGAATTCAGTGTTTAAATTTTAATTAGGTGAGTAATTACCAGATGAATACGTAATTATGAAAAAATGTCGTTTTTGACGTATCACCTTCCGCGACTCCCTGTCACAATTAGCTCGCATTATTATAATAATCACCTCCCAACAATGATGCATTCACGTACAAATATAATACCACGTACAAAACGCGTGTACCATCGGGCCAGGGAAAGTGTTCACCTCGTGAGAGCCACAAAGTGGCATGATTTAAAATTCATAAAGGCGTTTTGACTGTGAAAATCGTGCCAACGGCGATTATAATGAAGACGCAGCTGTAATAGGTATAAAAGTCACAGGTGCTCCAGTTCTCCAGTCTGGTAAAACCGAGAGCAGTCGAGTGAGCGGACATATCTTCATGTTGTAATCCCTGCCAATTTGTAACAAAACCAAAATTGCAGTCATGAATTACAAGCCGTGAGAGTCAACCTATTTAGACGGAACGAAATAATAAACACTCGTTGATAAGTTTGAATGAGGAAAAAGAGAGTGAATTATGTCAGACAATCGTCGATTGTCTGGCACTTGTTTGAGTGTTATATTTTGTAATCACGGTAATTTACTCAACTTTTGCAGAGGTGATTTGAAATTTTCAACGTTGCGCAATTCTCTTACTTTTTTTTTCCTTGTTTTTATTTTCGCTTTGTACACTCTAATAACGTCTAAATTGAAATTAACGACACGTCACTGCTGCTACTGTCACATCCGCTCTCTGTCCGTTGGCTTCCCAGTAATTATTGACTTCTGTGTAACATGTATGACCTACTACGTAATACCTCAGGGCAATGCCTTTTTCCTCGGTTTTTCGCCGGGATGAAAATTCACTTTTAAAAATGTGAAAACACTGGGCTATAAACAATGAATTACAACTCGTCTCTTCGAATTATTTCCAAGTCAGTGGAGTTTACCTGATGCAAATTGAGGGGACTGGTTATTTATGAATGTCATTACTCGAGAAAGAAACATTTCTCGTTTACAATTTCATGGGTGGATGTTCTACCGATATTACTGGCTAATTACGTTCTTCAGGAAGAAGGAGAGAGCTGTTGCAACGTGTACAAATGATAATTGAAAAATTATTTTATTATAAAATCGTCATAGATCTGTATGTACACCATTCCGGAGAGTCATCAATTATTAATTAATGATTTATGCCTTTCTCCCATCATCCGAGGACCAGCTTCACCAGTATCGTTAGAATGTTGAGGAATATCAGAGGATCTGTGAAATAGAGATGAAGTACATATTTATTTTCATTGGAGATTTGTCTGTAGAGGAAGCATCTTCAGAACTTACATCTCGCCACTGTTCTTATCGACCTCACAAGGTGCATTGCCTGCGATTTCACACTCGGAGGCTCACCGAAACCCTGGATATTCTGCTGGGCACCCCAGCCAACTGTTATGAATTTCAAATAAAAATAATTTGATGAGTTTCCCAGTTCCTCAATAATAAAAATCCCACAAGATCCCTGATAACATCACCAATAATATCAGTAATAATTATATCAGTCATAAAAAATGACCAGTAAATTCATAAACAAACAATAAACGTAGATCAAATAATTCCCAAATTCAATATTTTTCTGCAAAAATAAAATCCAATATTTTTCTTCGAAAAGAAAATCCCGAAAATTCAACGGACGTGTCAGCTTGACGGCCTTTGAGGTTAACTCCTCTCAACCCTTCGTAATTAATATCCCATCAATAATTACAACTGAATACCCGAAAATACTTACTTTTGACTAGAAACCTTTCCTCGTGGAGGACACAAACAGCATTGAGACACAAAAGTGTTGCCTCGAAGAGACTCCACAGAGTAAACGCCATGTCGACTTTTCAAAATAAATCCCCAGTTCGGAAAAAATGGAAAACCAATGGCAGACATCTACCGGACCCCCCAAGGACTACATCGTAATTATAACTTTATGACAGAATTCAAAAATCTAACGATTCGGTGGGAAGTCAAGTTGACGCGTCGGATTACGGGAGACTGAGGGAAATAAATTATTTTTCGTTTGGATTTCATTCGGGGCAGTTGACTAGATTAGATAGCTCCATCGGGTTCGGGGTTTCAGGTTTAAATTTCGTTTTTTTTTCGGGGGATTATTTTTGATCGACTGGGAAAATTCATCGGGAGTGTCTTTGTGGTAATCCAGAGGAATCAGGGAAGAAGAAAATTTCGATTTTCATCGGGAAATTCAGTGGCGAGACGGGAAATGGCGACTTCTCGTTGTCCCCGCTGATCGTAAGTGTTTTTCATTTTCCTACAATTCCAGGGAAAAATTCAGGTGATACTTTTGGACGGGCTGGGGTGGGTCACCTGACGTGTTTACATTTTCCTGATTTTTTTTGGCATCAATGCACGTCACAAAATCCCCTCAGAAAGCCATACTTATTTTGTTAGTTGCGTATTTGTTTCATTTTCGATCACTCAATGACAGTTCGTCTGAATTTTTTTTGGGGGGATTATCCACGGTTTTCAGAGTATATGATTATTTGAATTCGAACGTAACCTAGAACCCCGGCTAAATTTATTTAGAGATGATAATTATTTTTTTGTAATTAAGACACGGTTTTTCTATGGCTTGGAATGGGGAGAGCGGGGTAAATTGATCTTAAATGGTCATGAATGGTACAGTGAGTTCTCAATATTAATTTAAAAATCCCTGGAGTAACCCCGAATTTTTTTCACCCTCCCCTAACGCAAATATTTTTTTGCAGGGGAAGTGGGTCTTCGAGGGTTGAAGACAAGTCTTTCTTTGATTCGTTCAACCCGAGATCCCGCAATACTGCTAAATTGAGGATTTTGATAGCAGCGAGTATGATCCCCTGCCCCTGCATTCCCACAGTCATCCCATCCCACTCCCATCGCATTTGACAGGTACTTGAAAAAACACAGGTTGAATTCTCATTTATTGAATAATTATTTTCACTATCTTGAGGGTGTTTTTCTTTCGGCTAATGCTCAGTCATTAATATCGATCTATGTCGCAGTACAAGGGGGTTGATCTAATTAATTCATTGACTGACTATGTATCACACTATGCTCCCACCTCCCATGATGGTACAGATTGTCGGTGGTCAGCAAACGAATGGACAGTGTCCTAACATTCCCCCCCCATCAATTCCCACAACAAGTGCAGCAACAACTCCCACAGAAGTTCCGTCCCCTTACGTATTCGATGGCAGTACCCAGAGCCATCGTCTGATTCACACAAGTCCCCAATATCCCCTGGAAGTTTACCAGATGATGGGTGTGGAGATACCGCAGTTTCGAAGGCCCAATTATGGGACACCAACGAGTAACATTACCCCATGGCAGAGGCGTGTGACCACTAGCTCCAGCACAACCCTTCCTACAACGAATTACCGTCAGGGTGGATTCAATTCCTTGAAAAAATCCACATGGGCGACAAAAGCCAAACGTCAGCCATCAAAAGAGCTTCCCCCTGAGCCATGCAACAGTGACAGTGGCTTCAGCTCTCGTTCACCAACACCTAATAAACACACAGACAGCAGCCAGACAGAGAGCTCCGACGATCGTGAATCCACGTCGTCAGCTGATCTCGAGATCAAACGAATGCAAGAGCTCCCCACAATAGCCATTCACAACATCACCCTCACCCCACAAGGGCTCATCTCCAATCTGGCACCTCAGTATTACCAACAGCAGAGACCTCTCAATTACTACCACAGCACGATACCAGCAGCGAGAACAACGCAGATACAGCAAAACTATCAGAGCAAAAAGCGATATCACAGTGGCAGAAGCTCAAGCTCACCACCAGCTCAGAAGACCCAGAACAGGCGAAAATTCACGGACATAATGGTGCCAACATTCAATTTCTATCCAAGACCCTATATCGCACCTGACAGATTTCTCGCAAGGTCTCACCTCATGCAGGTGCACAAGACCCCAGAGGATTTGGTTCAGCGTTGCAGGTGGGACGAGCTCTCCAGGGACATGTGGAATAAGTTCCTGGGCAATCAGCAATCCGAGGCGACTTTCAGAAATAAAATGATGCTCTGGAAGTATCTCTATATTTATATCAAATCAACTTACCCAAGGTATGGGCTTTTTCTCGTTGGATCTACGATGAATGGATTTGGTGCTGACAGCAGTGATGTCGATATGTGTCTCCTTGTGAGGAATACGGAGATGATACAGAGGAATGAGGCGATCTGTCATCTCGATCAAATCAAGGCTTGTCTAAAAAACTGTGATTTCATCGATCAGCTGACGTTGATACAGGCCAAGGTACCTATCCTCAAGTTTCACGATGGCATGCAGAATCTCGATATTGACTTGAATTGCAATAATGCTGTGGGCATTCGTAATACTCATATGCTCTACTGCTACTCGAGGATTGACTGGAGGGTCAGGCCTCTGGTGCTCGTCGTGAAGCTGTGGGCACAGAGTCAGGATATAAATGATGCAAAGAACATGACCATCTCCAGTTATTCACTCGTACTCATGGTCATTCATTTTCTCCAGTGTGGAGTTCATCCCGCTGTTCTGCCTTGTCTACACTCCATGTATGGGTATAAATTCAATTCCTACTCGGATATTCACACCATTGACATTCATGAGGATCTCGATTTTCCCGCGAAAACTTTTGCACAGACCAATCGGCAGCCTCTTGGGGAACTGCTCTTTGAATTCTTCAAGTATTATTCGAATTTTGAGTGAGTTGGGAGCATTCAAATGTCTGTAGTAAGGGTAAAATGAGATTATTTGAAAAAAATATTTTTGCTAATTAATAATTCATCTTGGGAACGATCCAAGGAACTCCATTTAGAAATGAAAAATTCAAATCCTTTCATTTTACCACTCGTTTTTTTTTGTTGAGGGAGTTTATGGATTTTTATTTCCATTTCTCATTTCAGTTTCAATCAATACGCGATATCAGTGAGATTAGCTAGAAAAGTGCCAATTGATGACTGTCGTCGAGCCAGATCGTGGAAGAATGATCCACATCAATGGAAATTACTCTGCATCGAAGGTAATCTCACTGTTACAGGGGATGTGTGGAATTCTTCCATGTTGTATATATTTTTCGTAGAGATCGTTGAAAAAAAATTGGAGAGCTTGAAAAAGGGTATAACGAAATTGAAATCTCTTTTAGAACCATTCGACTTGACGAATACTGCCAGATCGGTCTACGACTATGCTGTGTTCTCCAGAATCAAGACTGTCTTCCGCAGGACCTATCAAAGACTGAAGGAGAGCATGAACCTCGCCAGTATATTCGTAAAACAAGCGCCACATGTTGGGCTTCACTACCCACATCCCTAGAGTAACTCGGAGTCGTCAGACTTCTATTTATGAGACACTCTTCCTTGCCAGAGTGGCAAACAGTGAGCTTGTATATTTTTTTTTTTGTGATAAAATACGAGTCTCGTGAGATTAACATGGCTGTGCTGTGTATCAGTGATCAACACTGTGATATTTAGATGTCGAGTCGAATATTTAGGATGAATTACGCGTCTAGGGAGATGAAAGGTAATTGCAACGGTATTAGTAAATGAAATGAGATGATTCAAGAGAAAGGAAAGGGAAAGAACTCGAGGGGAGAGATATAAAGAGCGAATGAAATAATGAGGAATTCCGGGGATTGGGAGATTAGAAAGTGAGAGGAGTTGCTGTGCAATGAGATGGGAATAGAGAGGAAACAGAAATGAGTGGTGAATAGTTTTCCTCTCGACGTAGATAAGAGGGAAACCGAGGGTGGAGTGGTGAAATGGAGAAATGAGGGGGAGTATTCGATGCAAGGAATAATGCCATGAGAATTCACCACTTCACTTATATATTTGTGCCTTGTTTGTTACTATTTATATTACGAGACTTGAATGAATAATACCAGGGGAGTGACGAGACTTGCTCAACGAGTTGTAATATGATCGCAGGGTACCCTGGAGCCAGAATGACATATTGAACGTGAAAACTGAGATTTAAATCAAGTAACTTGTATTATTCTGAATACTCGGTGCAGTTACGACTCGTGTGATTTCAACGAATTCGATTAAATTATTCTGAGTTTTCTGCAATTGCACTTGGTGCCGAAAAGCCTCTCCCTCAGTTATACATAATGAGAAAAAAAAATCAAAAATTAAAAAAATGATAAAATAAAAATAACCAAAAAAAAAAATTAAAAATCTTAAAGGAGAAAAAAATATATAAACTGTTAACATTTAAGTTTATAGTATTTAATTTTTTTCGTGCATTCGTTACGTTCACTGGAGTGTGTTCCATGATTTTCCTTACCCCTTTTTTTTATTTCTTTTTCTAAGAGGGAGATGGCTGAACATTGGCAATTTATTTGTGATTGATTTGTATTTCTATTCCTTTTTTTTTTCAAGTGAAAAAGTTATGTGGGCGGGGAAATATTAGAAAAAAAATTAGCACCATTGATTTAAGACTATTTTTCGAAGTATTTGAATGATAAATTGATTTGTACAAAATTTGGAAAAGTTTACTAATGCCAGATGAAATTGTAATGTCAAAAAAAAAATCATTGATCAGTTAAAAAAAAACTGTCGTAAATTTCTATAGGAATTTTCTGGATATTCCAGATAATTCAGGCAGTCAGACAAAATAAATTCATTGTAACTTTCACTTCGTTGTTAAATAAATGCATTTTTGTAAAAAAATAAACCCCCATTCTCATTTTCCACATCGAATTTATTGATACCATCAAATTGTACAGTGACTGTTTCTGTTCTGTTCATAATAAATTTGCGATTAGCAGCGTGCTGTTCTGTTCCCCCCCATCATCCCCACGAAGTAACCAAAAACTAAAAATCATCCGCCAAGAAAAAAAAAGAGATAAAAATAAAATTTTAAGTTGCGTTATACTACCTTACTCTACTCTTTGCAAGTTATAACTCGTGAACTATCGAAAAAGTCTCCAAAACTGAATACATTTCCCGGAAGTCATCATTCCCCCGAGGTCCAGAGAGAGTTCCCACATAAAACCCCGTAATGTTTCAATAAAGACACTTTGATTCTCCATCCCTCCAATAAAACCATAAAATCACACCAAAAAATGTTCCCCCTTCTGAGACCTCCCTCCCCTGATGCTCAAAAACTCACGAGAACAGCCGTCACTACATAATTAACGAAATAACGAAAATAAAGATCAAACTCAGTAACATTTCCCCTCGAAGTTAACGATTACCAGAGGATATTACCCCAATGAGGTCGTGGATGCCCTGGAGTTGTTTCAATAAAGAAATAAAGATAAATCGTAATAGTAAAGGGTGCCTGGCGGTGTCCACAGACCCACCAAGAGCTCACCCTCACCTCACCATCGCTCCCGTGAATCGATCAGTCGATCATCATCTTGCATTACAATGCACGAAGTCAATTCTGCCTCGACGAACCTCTGGATCCCTCAGGTGTTCAATTTCCACCATTTCCTGCTAAGTAGTCACCTGCAACGGTGTCGACTCCACCTTTCAGCTCCTCGTTATCATTTTCCATCATATCCCATTATTTTCCGTTATTATCCATTATTTTCCATAGGCAGAACGAACAATGAATTATCTCAATCCCACCGGAGTCCCAACCGTCTCTTGCAGCATCACCGATCTCCCCCGTTGTTATAATAATACTCTCGATGTTTTAATGTCTGTAATAATTTGTTTTTTTTTTTAATTGTCTCAAAGAAGTTTGTACGAGCCTCCTCAGTCGCTCCCGCGACACTGCATGGCGAATGGATTGACCAGCCACATCTGGACGGCTCAATACGGCTGCGAGAATTGTCCAGGCTGGGACTGTCCCTGATAAAATCCACTCCTGTCCCCCTGGTAAGTGGAATCCTGCGAGAGGAGTCCATCCATCTGCGACTGGAAATCACCAACGGCAAACGAGTCCTGGGAGAGTTCAGCCTGACTGAGACCAGGCTGGGACAGACTGAATCCAGGCTGTGACATTCCCTGAGTAGTTCCTTGAGTCAGTGGTAGTCCTGGTTGACTGAAGGGCTGAGTGTTCTGATCGTTCTGACTCAATTTACCAACTCTGGGTCCTTTTCCCTTCATTCCCCCAGGATTACGACGATTCCTCTGGTTCTGTCTTGCCTGCAGTGCCTGTTGATGCTGATTGTAAAACCGGGGTGGCACATGAGCCATATTCATGAACATCCCCACAGGCACTGGAACATTATTCATGGCTGCCTGAGCCCGTTCAGGGCTTATGTAGCTTATTGTGTCGTGAGTTCTACTGAACATGTCGAGGGGTACATTCCTCTGGTAGTAAGGATTGTGGCTCTGATTGCCATTCATCTGGCCGCCAGATCTATCATACACTGATCCTGGTATCAGGGCCTCCCTGGCATCGTACATCGAGGTCGACATGAAGTGAGAGCCTGGATTGGCCGAGTTGATTAATTTCTTGGGCTTTGCAAACTGAATCATCGATTCTTTGAGATTGTTCAGGGGCCCCTCCACTAGCACTTTCTGCTCCTTGTAGAAACTCAGGAGGTGGTTCCACAGTGGTTGCTTGGATAGGACCTTTGGATTGCCAACGATTATGATACCGTATTTGGCTCGAGTCAGGGCGACGTTCAGCCTCCTGGGATCATTCAGGAAACCAATGCCCTGGTGTTCGTTCGATCTGACACACGACATGATGATTATGTCCTTTTCGCGTCCTTGGAAGGCGTCAACACTTGCTACTTCGATCTCTTGGTAGAGCTTTGAGTGCAGGGAGCCCTGATACTGCATGTACTGTACGAGATAGGCTCGTTGTCCCTCGTAGGGAGTGATAACACCAATCTGCTCAGGTTTAACTCCACAACGAAGAAATCTCGTGGTGATTTTCTCCACGTTCGATGCTTCGGTTCTGTTCAGGTACGAAGTACCACTTCCTGCTATCTCCTCCTGTCCTTGAGTCACATAAAAGAACATTGGTTTGTCTGGCACTGGCCAGGGAAAGTCAATCTTCACGAGTTTTCTCTCGTCTGCGCAAACACCATTCTGGAGTGAACCCTCGTAGAAGAAATTCGAGGGGAATCTCGATAAATCTGGATGCATTCTGTACTGAACCTCGAGTCTGAAAGGTCTTATCCCCAGGACAACGAGTCGTTCGAAGAGAGACTGAGACAGTCCAGCTCGTGCTGCTTTCTTGCACATCACAACAGGCCCCAGTTGACAATGATCTCCAACGAGAATCAGCTGTTTAGCCCCCAGTACCACTGGTACCATGCACTCAGGCTCAGTTGCCTGCATGCTCTCATCGATGAGAATCGAATGGAACTTTAGTCTGTGGAGGCGAGGATCCCCAGCTCCCACACATGTACAGCAGATAACATCAGCAGCCTCCAAGAGCTCCTTCTCAGCAGCTTTCTTCAGTAATCTGTAACGTTTCTCATCAGCTGATGATAACTCTCCAGTCTCATCCTTGAGCTGCTGGAGCTTCTGCAGCTCAGTGTTGGTCTCCATATTTTTTATCTGATTGTGAAGAGCGAGGAAGGAGACTGGGGAGTCGATAGCTTCCCTGGATTTAGCACAGAGGCGAACCACTTTGAGATTGGACTTGTGAATTTTTTCAGTGAGTTGGTCGACTGCGGTGTTCGATGGAGCACACACCAGGACTGGTCCTCCATTCTGTTTTACCAGTTGATAAACGATCGTTGCGCTCGTCACTGTCTTTCCTGTACCCGGGGGCCCCTGGATCAAAGACAGGGGACGTTGTACAGCATGCTTGACGGCATAAACCTGCGAGCGATTGAGATCTGGCAGGTTGGGGGCACTGAAATGCTTCGGCAAGTGACAACGAAAGAGCACCTCCTCCACCTCGTGCCCCAGCAGACGATGATAGATGTACGCAGATACAGATGAGTCATCCACGGCGAATTTTCGAAGTGCAAGCTGCATTCTATCGAAGCTCGTGCTTTTCCAGATAAAATCCACCACGAAATTGCAGGTACACTCGGTTGGAGCACCTGAATTGTTCTTCAATTCGATGCCAACCTCTTCACCGTAGTTATCTGGGATCTTTATGACGTGTCCTATCCCTGACCAGGGCTTGTGGATTTCTCCCAGATAGCGGAGCCTCAACTCATCACCGTGCATGAGCTTCATATCACCGTCTGTCTTCGCCAGCATGAAGTAAGCGATTGTCTTCTTGTTAAGACCGACGTCCCAACGGACCTCGATGTTCTCCTGAGTCTGGGATTCCTTCAGGCGTTTGTCGTAGTCCGCCTCGAGCTTCACCAGAGGACCGAAAATATTTTGGTACTGATAGCCATCCTCGTAACGCAGGAGTACTTGCTGGGGCTCCTCGTCCACTCCAGGTTTCTCCAGATCCTGGAATGTCGCGTCCACGTTGTCACGCCACAGCTCCTCAAGTTTATTTATCTGCTGAGCTGAGATTTGACGCGCTCGGAGCTGCTCCTGCTCCGAGGGAATTTTCACCAGCCACGCAAGGAAACTACGGTCCTCGATCAGGGGCTTCCATTGCTCTTGATCCCAATTCATGTCCTTCAGTGAACTCTGCGCAGCACAAGGTTGTCTGCACAACAATACAACGACCGAATCAGCTTTGGCAGGAATAAATCCAAGGACGAAGACGTTCCTGACAGCGCAAGAGTAGCATTCCAGAATGGTTTCACCCAGGGGTCCATCCCTGTAGAAGAATATCTAACGATTAATGCCCGAAAGCCCTGCAAATCTCAAATAAAAGGGGTCCACTTTGAAATTTACTGACCTGTGTAGAGTTACTTCCTTGTGCTTGGCTCTCACCAGGTGATTAATAATGTGTGATCCCGAGGTGTTGCCTCTACCATTGCAGAACCACTTCCTGCAGACGTTGCACATAACAACGCACGAGGCCTCGTGAATCCCGCAGTACTTGCACGCGTGCTCTGGCAAGTCACGATTGTAGAATGCCTCTTCCTCTTCCTCCTCGAACTGCAGCTCTGCCAGGTTCTGAGCTGCACCAGAAATCTTGAGATCGAGAGCTGAACTTCCGTTTGTTCCATTGATCTGAAATAAACTCATTACCCCTCAATTAGAGACGGTTTGATTTTTGATCAAACCGAATCGATTTTGCCGTCTCAAAGTTCTCAATGTTAAAAAAATATCTAAAGTGTCCATATTGCCCGAGTTTCCCTCAACTCGAATGACATTGCAGAAACTCTGAAGCTCAAGGACTTCAAGGTCACTGCAATTTTAGCACTGGGATTTCAAGTCTTCCGGGGGACTGAATTCCACGACTGAAGACCCCAGGGCCCCTGACAATACGCCGACCCCAAAAACGTGCCCCAGACATCGTAAATATTTTTTCAAGACTTCCAGAGAAAACTCCAGAAGGCTTTGAGGTTATGTGGAAACCGCGTGGGTGCCCCGAGCCCCTCGCCCTTATAATCAACTGATCAGAAAGTCAAAATCACCTGGATCGGCTGACTTTGCTGGCTCTGCCCATGATCATGCTGTGACGCCTGTGTCTGACTCGGTGATGGCAACGTAAAGTCAGTAAAGTCAAATTCACTTCCCTGTGTGTCAGCACCAATGAGATCAGCCTCCTCGGTGTCCAGGAATGTCAGGGTCTGGCTGCTGGGTCCATACGCATCGACACTCATTATGTCCAGTCTCTTCCCCAATGGCAACTCAAAAATTCTCGTCGATTAACCAGAAACACCCGAAAAAAAAATCACGACACGAATGACCCACGTATGTCCCCGCTCTTTTTACCTGTCTTCTCCCACCAACTCCGAGACCACTCGACAGTAAGCAATTTATTTATGCTCTCATAACACTTCTCACTCGCTGATAACCACCGATTATTGTGCCAACGGCACACGATGATAAAGAAGAATTCAACCAAAAAAAAAGCAGGCCACCAAAAAATCTACGCCATACTACCTTTAGCTCTCTCCAACCAATTACGAGACACAAGTGTAGTATGCGTATTTTTTTCTAACCCCCTCTTTTTTATTTTATGTGTGCGCTAGTCGTCTGTTACGTCATCAGCTGATTTCCGAGGGAGCAGGCGTTTCTTTTGACGTTCGAATAACGAGACTGTAAACATTTATCGAGGCGGGTCATTGTTTATCCGATGCATCTCCGGAATTATCGAAAAATTGCATAGCTCTTCACTAAATAAACCTAGGAGAAACATAACAATTGCCGTAATTGTCGCAATCATTTAATATATTTCAGGTTGGTTATTATTTTGAATAATTTTTTTCATTGACACTTATTCCGTACAATTTCGATTCCATTACCATCTTAAGGGTTTGAGACGCATCAGGAAAAGAAGTAAGATAGGGAAATACGAAAGATAAAAACAAAGAGACGCTATTGATACGGCTCTGTCCTTAAAAATTTATTGAAATCTCCAGATTCATCGATTCTATCATACATTATAAAACGGTATAATTGCGGTTTTTATTATAAAAAACGTAAATAATATTACAGCAATAAATTGAAGGATTTTCACTGTGAAAAATCAGTTACTTATATTTCGGATGATTTCATACGAAGAATGACAGGAACACTTGTGCAGGGAAGAATTCCGAGCTCAGTCACAACAGCTGTTATCAGCTCGGGGGGTGTTACATCGTACGTGAGATTGAGAAGATTCAAATTTGGATGCGCCTTCCAATTAGCTAATGCAGTGCTCCCAATGGCTAGCTCATTGGGGTCACCAATTTCATTGTTAACTATCGAGTCTGTCTGAACTCTTTCGCAGGTTTTGTACGTCTCGCAGGCGACCAACACGGGAATGTTGAAGGCCTTTGCCATTAAAGCTACTTGAGCTGTTCCCAGACGTGACATTATCGCACCATTTGCGAAAATCGCGTGAACACCGAGCAATACTTTGCTCACCTGAAAATAGAATTACAGGCAATACGTAGATATATTAAAGGAATAATCTTTATTAATGGAATAATCTTTCCAGAATACTCACTCCCTCTTTCTTTATTATATTGCTGACTTGCGTTATTCTACCGTAGGAGCATTCGATTCCGTGTTTAGCTAGTCTTCTCAGTAATTCTCTACCTTCTAAAAACGGTCTACCATCAAGAATGACAACTCGAAATTTTTTCCCTTTGTCGTGAGCCTCGCAGAGGATTTTTCGGATCAAAGAAGAACTAAAAATAAAAAAAAATATATAATTGAGCAGGGGTGATTACTGTGATTATGTCTTAATATCATGGGCTATTAAAGTGAAATTTTTCGTGAAAATTTCAAAACAATTTTTTTTATCGGTCGCGCCTTTCGTTTCATCATCGAAAATTATTTTTTCTCCACAAAAATACTGAATTATCAAGATAACTCACTAGCTACACGTGAGAATGACATCTCCATCCGAAATTTTTGTTTGAATGGCTATAGAGATGGCCTTGCCCGCCAGAAGAATCTGCTCCTGTATATAGGTGTCAATGGCAGCTGCCAATTTCGTTTTAGCCTGTGGATAAGAATTAGCGAATAAATTCAGAAAAATACCAGAAAAATTCCTCACAAATTCCACCAACGAACCTCATTATCCGAGGTCTTTGAGTTCAGCTGTGTGATTTGCCACTTCAAGTGCCTTAGAGCATTGTGCATTGTGATGGCCATGGGCCTGCAGTGGTGGAGATAAGCCGCGTGTTCCTGGAGACTTGCCTCTAGTCCCCTAGTGAAATCTGCCTGTGAGGGCCTCTCAAAGTCTTCGATCAATTCCTTGATGGCTGCTAGGAAAGCAATGCACCTGGCATTACTACCCACAATTATTTTCTCGGCGTACTGTACCCCAAGTCTCACAACCGCTGGATGAACATGAGAGTTGACAATGGGAGTGTCCACGAATGCTTGTCCTCGCTCGTGGTAAAGATGTTTAAAGAGACCAACCTCGTGACTGTTCTCCTTCGTAATTATCTTTTTTATCTTTCTCGGAGAGTTATCAAGCTTCTCCATGCATTTATCCTCAATTCCCTGGGGCTTTGGCGACTTCGGCTCATCCACGGACTGCACCACTGACTTCACTGTTGATTTTACCTTCTTCTGGGCTTCCTTTGCTGCCCTTTGGGCCTCTTGCTTCAGTCTACGTTCCTCCCTCAGTTGAGCCTTACTCTTTCCCTCGTCAGGACTCTTTCCATCTTGTTTTTTAATCTGTAACTGTCGCACTGTCATTACCTGATTTTCTATAACGTCTGAAACACTCAATTCTGACAACTTCTTTTCTACGTTTAAAATTTCCTTCTCCACTTCCTCGTCTGACATAACATTATGCGGTTTTGATTTAACTGCAGGTTTTGGGGAATTCTCCTGCAGGTGATTCGTAGAATTTATTGTAAGTGATTTGTTCGGGGTCTGGGCTGGTGATTTCAATTCCGAAGCCTCGGACTTCTGCTTGGAAACTTTGGACTTGCTCTTAGCAGCTGCTTTTGCTGCCTTCTTCGCTTCCCTCTCGGCTTTTATTTCTTCTCTCGTTTTACCCTCGGGGTTCATATTTATTTCTGCGGGCGAAATAGTCTTTCGGAGAATACTTTGTTTGTCGTTGTGCTTCGGCGATAACTTTGATGACTCATGGCTCAGTGTGAGCTCATGGCTGATGTCATGTCGTTTAGAGTGGCAGATGGGCGAGGGAATTTTCGTGCTTTGGGAAGTGTTGATTATTAATTTGGGGATGGAGTCGCCGGGTTGCAAGGCGCTCAGGGATTCCGTGATTTTCAGGTTTTTTTCGTTGTTTAAAAGCTCTTGGGGATTTTTCTCGTTGCCTGAATGAATTTCCTCCGGTGTCGGGGGAGAATTCGGTGGGGTATTTTCAGAGGTATCGAGTGACGCGGATGGGGAGGATATTGGCGAGGTGTGGGAAAATGCTCGAATTTTTTTTCGAAGACGACGGGCTTTTGATTTCGAGACTATCGGGTTTTCGGAGATTTTTTGAGAATTTTCATCGGTTTCAAGGATTTTTTTCGGGTTGTCTAGGGAGATTCCTTGGTCTGTTGACCTTCGAGCGATGATTAGACGTTTTCTGCGGAGATGACGGGCTTGGGAACGAGTTTTTTTCGTCGTCTCCTGGAGGTTCTGTACGGAGAGAAATATATTGAGGACTTGGTGATTAAATTAACGGTCCGAAGGAATTTATCAATGCAATATCGAATTTATATTATTATACTGGAAGTAGGGCACGTAAGGCAAAATAGAAATTTCAGATCTTTTTCGCAATTTTCGTGATTTAGGAATTGATTTCTGAACTAATTACTCCTCGAAAAAAAATCAATTGCACGGTGACAAGTTTAATTTTTCTTATTCAAGTTTTCCAGAAAAATCTTATTGTAAAAAAGTGTAAAGTGTCTGTTTTACCTCTTGGTTCCCTATTTGTCACATGCAACAGGTGAAAGTATGAAAATACGTCAAAGGTAATTAAGTTAATAGGTAAATGACCTAACAATTTCTAAAAAAAAAATCATTTTCCAAATCAATTAAAAAAGGTATGATGAAATTTTAGAAATAAAGGGGAAATATTGGCCTGAAAACCTCGAAAGCAGAGCACAATAGTTAGTAATGAAAAAATTGATATTTTAAATACACTCGGCACTACTCTCTGTACCTTCTCATCCATTGCCACTGTGTCAAATCTCAGACCTCCCACTGGGAAAATCAATATTAGTTAAAGAAAAATACATTTTTTTATCGATATATAAGTGTGTTGAGAAACAGATGGATTAGGTTATGTTAATTATTCATCGGGCAAGTTCCATATTGCTTCAAAGCTTTTAACTGATTAGATTTTCTCCGATTGTAATGAATAATTCTGTACCTCGTGAAATTTATTCGATGATTTTCTTGATTGTTCGTTGCAGATGTTGTAAATCCTAGTTTTTGTCACTTTGTGCAAATATTCTTAGATTTTAAGGCCCGGGTGGAGGGATTTTGGCCCGACATGTCCCTAGGAAATTCCCCAGAAAAAACGCGTTTTACGGGGACATAAATGCCAGTCCCTGTAGAACCTCAAAAAATATCATCGTAGGGTCAATAGGTAGATAATTATTTTTACCGGGCCGGTAATTAGGTCTCAGGGGTGGGAAATTGCGGAATGAACGTGTAATTTCGTTGGAAGAAACCCCCTAGATTTCACTAAGATGAATTCTCCAATGATCGTGTGGGGAAAAATATGGCGCTCAATCACTCCGGCAAAAAAACACTCCTCACAATTGACACAATTATTACATTTTTCGCGAGTTTTCCCGGAAAGATTCGATGCACTGAACGCCCGTAATTTTTGTCCGCGAGTACAAAGCGATCAGCTGTCAATTTTAGGGAAATTAAAATTAGGCAGATGGCGATAGTGGGGCGTTTCAATTTCGGAGAGGCAAAAATGAGTTTCACGGCAGAAGTGATCAGGAGCGAACAAAGGAGGGGCACTTTTGGGCGAGTGATATCCCAATGGGGGGATACAAATAAATAGGATTGGGAGGGTGAATGGCTAAATTAGGGGTTGGACAGATGCGTGAAGGTACAGGGTGGGTATAAGGATGAAACTGGAATTGAGAAAGGGGTACGTGTATAAGCATGGTATTTGTAGGCATGGTTAGGGGCGAAATGAAGGGATGAAAATGGGATGAATGCTAGCAAAAAATTGGGGGGTTTTATTTTCGCGCTCCGACGCATAGGAAACGAGATAATCGCATTTTTATGAATTGAAAGAAAATTGCACCTATACCCTTCTCTATATATTGGATCGATGCGTCTCGTCGCGAATCTGACCTTATTTTTGCTCTACGACCAATAGGAAGCGAGAAAATCGAGTTTTTCTGAATCGAAAAAAAAATCGCTCAAATCGACTTCACTATAAGTGAAATCGATGCGTCTCGTCGCGCCCTTTACGAATCTGGGCGTATTTTTGCGCTAGGACGCATAGAACGCGAGAAAATCGAGTTTTTCTAAA